CACTTATTGCTGCTTTCCAAGAAAATACGAAGCTGACTCATTTAACCAGCAACAAATGTGTATTAGACAAATGTCAATGTTGACTCGTTCTTGTCTCATTCTGTACACACCACAATCTGTCCGAACCGTAAACTGTAGCTTCTATTCTGATGACATCTTAAGAAGTAATTAAGCAACATGTGTTACAACAACAGCGGGGATAATTCAAGAGACGTGACAACCGCATGAGTAGCGATGACCTAATTCCACATCACACACCATAACAGTGACATCAGGACTGCCGCATGGCAACAGCAGCTGAGAAGTGTCGAATATAAGACGCATCCTCTGAGCTGGGATGCAAAACCAGTTTCTTTCTAGTTTAACTGACATGACCAAACTGACTGATCTGTGTTTCAGGACGTACCAGAGAAATTCAAATATAAAATAAAAACTACAGATATAAGAGAAGCTTCAGAAAATGGGAGACTGTGTCTGTTTGTTTTTGTTTTTGTTTTGTTTAATAAATGACAGTGGGTACTTTTCTGGCACTTCTTGACTCACAAGAAGGATACCACACTTGTCTCTGAATAAAATAATTCACTCTCAGTCCAGAGCTGTTAGCAAAGCCATCATTAAAAATCCCATTTTTCTGGCATAGAAAAGGCAGGGGAAGCTCTCAGCAGTGATGACCTTGGACAGTAGACTCAAGATGGGGCTTTTCACTTCTAATTTAATTCTTTGGTATTGCAATTCTTTTAAATAGATAAGCATGTTAAATAGTTAAGGATTAAAACTAAGTAGAAAAGATAAATGTGCGTACAGTGTGTGTGCACGTGCACACGCACGTGTTATATATATACCAAAGCCGATCTTTCACTTTGATTTCTGCAGAATATTTTTTTTTTTATAAAAGATGAATTTTGGTTCTAAAATTATCAGCCAACTCAAAAGAGGTGCTGGAGACCGCTCTGATGGCTAATATTCTGCGCCCGCAGGGAACTCACAGATCAACTTGAATTTGAAATAGGAAATGAGGAAAGTGGATGCTAACCCCTTACCATTCATGCTTGATCACAAGCAAAACAGTCCCTGCATTTATTGAGTACCTACTGTATACAGGGTACTTCTCAGGTAGCTCTGGCAAGGTAGGCATTAGGAGGCAGGGGGGTTATGTCACTTTGGGGTATGATATCATCTGTAAGGAGTCAAAGAACCAGAAACTCAAGGAAAAGCAACCTCAAACCCAGGTGCCCTTCATTCCACAACTTTGGGCTTTCTAATTAGGTTACTGCTACGGCAAGACAACAACCACCTGATACCTCTTTGGTTAATAGGCTCTGGGAACCACAAACTGCATGTAATTTCACTTTGTCAGACATTCTGTTATTTTTCCGTAAGGAATGTACTCAAGGTCGTCATTAGTTATGGAACCCGAAGACAGATGGAGTGCTTGACAAACAGCAGAAAGATGCCACGTGTTTACCACAAAGTAAGTGGCTCTGGCTGAAGTCACTTAGAGGTCTCCCACACTGTGGAAGTTCTACTTACTGCTAAAGGCAGCCCCGCCATGGCTGCTGAGGGCCCTGTGTGTCCTGGTAGGATCTAATGAGGAACATTGAGAACGCAAAGCCCTGGCCACTGTTGACTCTCTCTCAAATATTCTCAGTGGTTGCCTTGATGACGTCACACGGGGTCTTCTACCAAAGACTGGGCTTGCCTTCCCAGCCATAAAAGCAGCGAGTCCCTCAAACTCATGCTCCCCTCGAGTCCTGCACCCCACTGAACTTGCAGACATTCTGAATGAGCTCAATGTGACCTCTGTAGGCCCCCTACTTGAAAGCAAAATCAAAAACACTATTGTATCATCTTTTGGCAGATACCTATCAATACAGAGAAAAGGCAAGGCTGAGTTCTCCATCAATTACAAGATTAGTTTTTAGAAAGTATTAGAATGACAAGGGTGTGTAATCTGATACTGGAGAGGCCTTCTTAAATGAAGGCAGTATTTTTAGAAAGGTTATAAAAAAGATAGGCTTTTCATTAGATTAAAAAGTTGTCTCGAAAAGCCAAAAAAAAGGGGGGGAGGGGATTGGTGTGGAAAATAATGAAATCAAAAGACATGGTAGACTAAGGAAATAGTAACTCATATGAATTATTAGTATGTGAAAATGTAATTAAAAAAAACTTTTTAAATATAAACCTTTGAAGCTGATGGAAAACTCAGTGGCAAAGAAAAAGGAATTCACAAAAAGAGGACAACTAAGTGTGGGGACGATGCCCAGCCTCACAATTATCAGATAAGGGAAGGAAGGAAGGAGTGCCCCAAAATCCTACTGGCAAAGATTAAAGATAATTACAACTGTAGTTGGAGCCAGCAAGATGGCTCAGTGAGTAAGGTGCTAGCTACCAAAGCCTGACAACCCAAGTTCAATCCCTGGAATCACATGGGAAAGGAGAACCAACTTCTACAAGTTGATTCCTGACCTCCCCAGATGTGGCCTGGGATGCACACCATATGCGTATCACGCCACACACACACACACACACACACACACACAGAGGATAATATATCTATCTATCTATCTATCTATCTATCTATATATAGATATAAAGCCATGGTTAATGAAAATGAAGAAAATCATTCTTTCCTATTCTGCCGATGAACTGTGAATTTGTGACATCTTAGAAAAGCAGTCTCATAACTCTCAAGTTTTAAAACGCTTATTATTGTAACTAGTAAGTACATCTCTAGACCCCGATCCTGTACACCTTAAGGCAGGGGACCCGTGACCATCTACGCACAACCGGCAGTACGGAGACGGCACACTGAGCAGGACTTGCGCGGTAAATCACCCGTGTGCCCACACTGCAGACCGTTTGTCCCCCATGGATGAGAGAGGGCTCCTGTGAAGTCAGACTTGGAGAGCAGAGAAATGAATAATAAGGTTTCGCTTTTGTCAGTGGTAAACTCTTGACATCATCACTTACGAAACCCCGTAACCACACACACACACACACACACACACACACACACGTTCGCATGGGCATAATTCACATATTTGCCGCTTTTATTTAACCGTGGGATCATGGATGGGAAAAGCTGCACACTTAGCTCTGAGCGTGGATGTCTGTAAGGGTGGTGATGCTGTACATGGAGGTGAGCAATAAAGAAGTGAGAAAATATTAAATAAAGCTGAATATGAAATTCCATCTGCTTTAGGGGAAGTGGTAGCTGGGTATTGATGGTGCAAGAGTACAGAAAGATGGGAACCGAAAAGTAAATAGAGGTTGCATGATTTTGGTGGAAATTTGCGGGGTTTTTTTTTTTCCCTTTCTTTTTAGACTTGTCAATGTCATTTGAATTTTCATGAAGACCTGCATAGTTTAAGCAGTCAGAAAAACACAAAGCGGTTTTTAGTCTCATGAGTTCTGTTGGTAGTTTTTAAAAGTGGTTTATATAATGATCCAAATATGGGGCCATCGGAACCCGAAACAAGAAGTGGAGAGAGACTCTTTCGATCCGAAGAAATAAAACCATTCTGTGGGTCGACGTTTGAGAAGCAGCCTCCAAAGGGCTACTACACGTCTGGAATCCACCTCGGTTGGTGTGGAAGTGCGGACACTAACCGAAACACGAGGAGGGATTAAGCTGAGGGTGTGGCCAACAGCCCATAACTAATGGAGAATTAGTGCTTGAATAACCTGTAAGTCAGCTGCAGACGCGAGGACAGGATCCAGAACCTCTGCCCCGGCACCTAGAGTGAACTTCACAGTGACTGCCGTGTTACCCAAGTGTCTGCCTGGGGTCCCTTTCTCCAACAGGACACGGTTGAGAAGCATCTAATAGAGGTTCTGTGGTTCTCAAATGTCAGCATCAGGCTGGCCCAGGCCACCATGACCTTCTTTCCATTTTAACCAAATGTATTTGCCTCCATCCCTCAGCCCCTTGCTGATTTGGAGCTCAATAAGAACGTGTTCCCCCTTCTCTTATCCTTTTGGGTGAAACCTCATATTAAGCCACGTGTTTGGATATCCTATGTCCTCTGGGCACTAGTGATGCTCTTGACAGCCTGACCCAGCAGCGCTTGAACACAGCCTCGTGGTGATGGCTTCCCTAGAAGAAGGTCCTGGAAAGTCCTCAGGATTTAAGGTTAAATCTAGGGCCTTAGATGCTTTTGTGCCTTCGTTAACAATGACATTTAGAGAAAGGCCACCCCCTCCCTATGCCTTCATTCCTCCCGTGTGAAGTGCAAGCCCCGCTTTCTCTCTTGAGCGGTGAGAATCAAGTGGGATGTTGGCATGATCGCAATCAATCATCAAATTAAGGTCATTACACATGTGTTTTTTGATTGCACAAGTAAAAATATCCTTTGTGGAAACTTTTTTAAATGCAAAATCACTAAGATTCAGGAAAATCCCCAAGAAAATAAAAATCATCTGAATTCCTGCATAACTGATCTTAATATTTTGATATATTCCTGAATATTTTCTCCATGTGTGTAGTCTAGAGGCATACATTAAAAGTACATTTCAAAGCATACTATGCATCACTGTTAATCTGCGATTTCACTTATACTTTAAGACATTAAAATTCTTCAAAAATATAATTTTAATAATGATTGAATGGTGATTTTAGCCCTGGTCTGATTTTTTATAAATATTTTTTTTCATTTAGATTTTTGTATTTTCACCATCAAAGTGTTTTTTATTAACCCAAACTTGCTAAATTATAACATTTAGATCTTGCTCACTTATATTTTTACCTTGTTAGAAAACTGAACAAGATTCATGAAAATACTCCAGACATTGATTTTATTTATAATTTCTACTTCCTATGCAATCTAATGTTACTTAATATGCCACAAACTCTGTAAACTTGATCCATAAAGGTTCATTTGAAATGGTCTCTCCTAACATTACAATATTTTTCCAGATTATTACTTTGGGGTTTAAATTTGACGCTTTGAAATGGCTTCCTAGGTCTCAGAAGCGTAAATTAAACATTACATGTCCTTAGTACCAAATCAATGTCAGATTTCTGTTCTCGTTTTCATTCTGTGTTACAAAATAACAATACTTTGCTTTGGATCATTATACACTCCGCGTTTTACTTTGGACTTAAGAGGATCAGGGTTAAGTTTTATGTTGGTTCCAAATGAAAACCATATTAATAGCAGGAGGACGCCATCAGCTTCCACCGCCACTTTTGTGCGCCGCCTTCGGCTCCTCCCTTTTATCGTTTCTTTTGCTTGTGTGTTGCTTTGCTACCTGATCTCTGCTGCCTTTGCGCGTCTTCTCCAGATGTTTGTGGAGGTGGACTACTGTGCTAACAGCACTGACTCCTCGGCTTACTGGAAGCACTTTTGCACACAGCCCTGTCTCCATTAGCACCCTTGGGGGATAACGTCCCTCTCAGTGCCCACTGTGGGCTGTTGCGCTGATAGAGTGGGGGTCATGGTTCCGCCACACACGTTCAGACAACAAGCATCGGCCTTGCAGGTGGTCTTCATATATATTTGTGCAAACACATGCATTCTTATGTCTCTGTGTGGGCAACGTTAATATTCAAAGACAAAAAAAAGCTATCGGCTTGAGGGAGGGGTGTGAGGGAGGGTTTCTGGGAGGGTGGAAAGAAAGTGACATAATCCTATTTCAGTTAAAGGCATTTAAACTTCTTAAAAATAAAAGTAAACTAAATAAAAAAACCATCCAGGGGCCCATTTTCCTTCATTTATCTCCCCTGCTCATCTCCACTCTTAACTTGAAGACAAATCTCATCGAGCACTCATTGTTACTCTCTGTTTAGCTTGAAGGAAGCCGTGCAGAGGGATGGTTTCCCCTGGGCTCTGTAAGACAGTACAGCACTGTGTGCAAGCCATTCACCCATCTCTGGTGATCAACGGCAGTTTGAGACCAGGAGCAGTAAGTAGTGAAGTGTCCTAGGTATCGGAGCCTTTTTTTATAACGCTGTCATGTAAAATACCACTCAAATAACCACAGAACACAACTCTGTGTGGAAAAAAAAAATGCATCTTTCTGTTTGCAACTAAATTTCCCAAACAGAAGAAATGCATGGGAGCCTGATGGGGTTGAAGTTCACCACCGTAAGACTAGGGTGGCTGATATCACCATCCTTCCACGTGTCTTTATTTTCCAACTTTCCTGTAGTTAATATATAATACTTGTATATAAGATGAAAAACCCATTCTTCTAATGGGACAGAACAAGGCCCACTTGTACAGGAACCAGCAATGAATAGAACTTTCCTCATGTATCAAGTCTAACACTTTCTGGGAGAAGATAAGATTGTATTGTAGACACTTGGCATCTTTGTTCATTTATACCAAAGAGAAAATGAGAAAAGAGAAAAAGAAGTTCCCAGTGGGTATTTATGAAAGACTTTGGTTTGTTCATTTGCATTGCCCTGGCTGGCCCAGAACTCACTGTGCAGCTCTGACTGCCCAGGAGCTCACAGATAACAGCCTCTCTCTGAAGCCCCTTGCACCAGCTATGAAAGTGAGCTTTGTTTTTCAGACTTGGGATTTAACGGACCAGAAAACTTCAGCACAAGATTCTGGAGCGGGAAACGAATATCTTAAAGGATGCACCACTGTAGGGACCACTTCTTCAGCCTGCAGAATGGCTCTAAAAACCCTTGCTATGCGAGCCCGAGAACGGGAGTTTGGGTCTCAGAACCCACAGCAGGAGAGGCCCCACTCCTGAAAGCCTTTCCTTGACCTCCCCACATGTGCCCCGTGACATGCTTGCACACACAGGCATATGTCATGCACACATGTATGTGAAATAATAATATATAATAAAACAAACATTAAAACATGGAATATTCCTTTCCAAATGACTACAAAGAGTGTATATCATCACAGCAATGTCCCGAGAAAGAAATAATGATGACAATTAACTACTCTTGGTTTTTTTTGTCATCCTGCCAGCTGGTGAAAAGCAAGCTAAATATGACTGCTGGCTGGTGGCTTGAGACCTTCTTACACCGAGACTCGACTCTCCTGGTGTTCCTACTTCCAGATACAAAATCCTGGCTCCTAGAGACAGAATCACCTGAGGGACAAGGGTCAGGTAGGTGTTTCAGAAGGCCAGGGAGCATCAAGTTTGGCATTGATTTTTAGAGAGAAGCCCTCCTAGACCCAGTGCTCTTTAGATCCATCACAGCTTCCCCTCATCAACTATAAAATAATACACATAAACAAATGTCCCTAAAATAAATGCCGGGATGTGGGAAACCAGTTTTAGCATCCAATTCTGTGATGGATGACTAGCCAGAATTCACCCCTCCTCCACGCCTTTTTTCCACAAGCAAACTCACCAGCCTCTCCTTCCCACTATCTGAGAGCTAGGCTCCTGCCTCTGCCCTTGCTTCCCCCCACAGGGTTACTTCAACACGGCAGCTGGAGTGGCCATGCTAAATACATTTCGGATCGCACCATCCCCCTATCCCAAACCTCACTCCCCAAGATCTTCTCAATTCAGAATGAAATCCTGCGCGAACCAAGCGCCACAGCACGGAGAGTCTGGCACACTGCACAGACTCACACGCCCTCTCTGAGAAGAGGAGACTTGGGACTGGAGGAAGTCAAAAGAGACAGCTCGGTCGTTCAGAGCACTTCCTGCAGAAGACCCCAGTACAGCTGCCAGCACCTATGTTGGGTGGTTCTCAACACCTGTAACTCTGGCCCAAAGGGATCCGATGCCCTTCTCTGGCCTCCGCAGGCCCCCCCACACACACACAGGTGGCATTCACCTGCACAGACACACGTGTGTGCACATAAATAAAACCATCATAATAAATATACATCGTTTTTAAAATAAAGGGTCAGTTGTATACAGCTGCCAACTTCGGCTGTTGATCAACAGTACAGTTGATTATTTCATTAAAAATTCTTTGTTTTTTTCAGGGTGTACATAAAATTCATACCTATTGTTTAAGATGGGGAAGATAGGGAAAGAAAATATGGAATCTAAGTCATCACTGTGATGCCAGAGAGAAGCACGGAGGGCATTTTGATATCTTTCCTTCCGACCTGACGTTTCCCTCTACAATCTAGACACACAATGTGCACTCCACGTGCACGCTCGTTGTCCATTGTCTTCACTTAGCATCTTCACCTGCGTCTTCAGAATAGTAAATAAATGAATGCCGTCGGCGGGTCTGGCTGAGCCAGGATCTACCAGGTCATTTCCGCCTTAAACTCTAAGGTTGCCTGACTTATATCCACAGAGCGCCAGCATGTTTGTTAAATGGAAAACGAGTAACCCAGGCAGCTAGAGTGGGGGAAAATGTGGGCAAGAGCACGGGGCCTCGTAGATGGTCTGAGATGCCAAAGCTGTCACCTGGGGCCTCCTGTGAAGGCTGCAGGTCGGGGCAGGGGCCAAGGAGGAATTCTGCCCGGGGAGCCCTGGCCTTGGTGGAAATGCCAGGAGCTGGAGAGGCGTTAGACTCCCAGTTCCTTGTTTGCCTGCTTCTCTGCCAGTCTGCCTCAAGCCAAAAATAATCATCACCCCCCCCCCCCCCCCCCCCCCCCCCCGCTAGAACATGCTACAAAAGAACTTGTACTCTCGAGGTCTCTCTGTGTTTCTGGGGCTTTATTTTCTGCAAATAAATTACTTGGTCTGGGAGCTTTTCCAGCTTGACAGAGCAGGAAACAAAACTTGTGCCCAGTGCTGTTTAAATCCTGTGATGTAGTAGATGCTGTGAGAAGCGAAATTAAATATGTCCAGTCTAAGGAGCTTTCTGGGAAAAAAAAAACGTGTGTGAACCAACAGATCGTTTCAGGAAAGCAAACACACTTCCTTTAGGAGCATAGCAAGACAGCACCCAGAGCCTTTTATCTGGAGGATAACATGAAACTCCATTCTCATGAAAGAGTATTCCTGGAATCCTCCGGGGGGGGGGGGGGGACATTGCAAAGCAAGAGAAGCTGAACCCTGTTCCAGGGAGAAGAGGTATCGAGTGCTTGTCAATGTACCCAGGTTGTCAGCCAAACAAATCCGTCTCAGTAGATGCATATAATAAATTCCAATGCTCTACACATTTCCCCACTCGGCAGGAGCAACCTAGAGGTTTGTGGAACAAAATGTATTTGTGACACTCGTTCTAAATGCTTTACAAATTAGTATCTGTGGTTTCCAAAATCTTTGGTGTGAAAATCGTTTTAATGGCAGGGTTCAAACCTGAGTGTGTTGATCTCAAGGGATGTGTAGAGTCTGTTTAATTACCGAGACAGCAATGTAACCTCCTTCCCTCGTTCGTTTCCCGCCTAGTAATCGTCTTCGAGAAAGGGGCCGTCCACGCCGAGTTCTAGTTGCGGCACGGCCTATGAAAGGACGCGTGGATGACCCTGGGAGTGGTGGGCACTGTGTCAAGCTCTTCATCTGATTTATGTCCTCTAGTCGTGGTTACTTCCTGATGCTCCTGGCGGGCACAGCTCTGCGGCTACCGTAGTTTTCAGGGAAGACCAGAGAACAAGGAGCTGCTACAAGACACGCGGGTAATAGAGTAGGAATCCGAGACGGGGCGGCTGACCCAGGAGTACACACACACAGGCCAGCGTACGCTACGCTCGACAGACATTCTTCCCACAGTTTGTTTTGGTTTTAGAAAGGTCTGTGTGCCTTCAGTTTTCCCTGGCAAAGGGAAGATATTAAGAATCGAATTCCTTTGCTTTCAAACTAACTGTCATCATCACTTTCCGATATAAAGAGAATCTCAAGGAAGGATCTACATAGTTCTAGAGCGAATATTATTATATGGAAGGTCCCCAAATTTCTGCAGGATAAAAGCGCTCCAAGAATCTATAGAACACATTTAAAAAAAAAAAAAAGATGGAGTCTCAATAGTCTATGCCAGCCTTCAATTCCCTGCGTGTCTGAGGATGACCTTGAACTTCTGATGCTCCAGCCTCCACCTCTGGGATGCTGGGATTACAGGTGTGCACCACCACACCCAGTCTGTTCGGTGTTGAGTATGATTCCAGGCCTTCGAGCATGCTAGGCCAGCACCCCATCAACTAAGCTAGAGCTACCCTTCAGAACAATTCTCCTGATTACTACCCTCCAGAACAATTCTCATGGTTACTATTCACGTTTGATAAAAAACAGCCACTTCCATGATCTTCAAAGACGTATAGGCATCCATGAAGTTCATCAGAGATGAAACAGGGATGTTATCCGTCATTAAAGCAGCAGAAACAACTTAGACTAGACCACCATCACCATGAAGAACAGGGACGGAACTGCCTTCTATCGAGGAAGGTCATCTTGAATACACACACACACTCACACACATGCAAACACACATACACATGCACACACACGCATGCACACACCACACACATGCACACACATGAACACACCACACACATGTACGCACACATGTGCAAACACACATACACGCACGCATGCACACACGAACGCACGCACACACACGCATGCACACACACGCGTGCACACACACCACACACTCGCACATGTGCAAACACACATGCATATACATGCACGCACACGCATACACACACAAACACACGCATGCACACACACCATACACACGCATGCACACACGCGCACACATGCACACATACCACACACACACACACACACACACCCATTTGGAGAAACAGATTCAGAAACTGGCATTAGATATCCTGGGATAAGAACATCAAATACAATTGTCCAGGAGGGGCCTCGGAGGAAGGAGGGAAGAGACAGGCAAATACTGCTGGCCTCGCTCGCCACTTCGTGCGTGCGAGTTCCACACTGTTAAAGGCGGGTGAGTCTTCCTCTTTAGAAAAGGAAATCTTTTTGGTTAGCATCAGCAAATCAGGCAGTGAATAAGCTAAAAAGAGAAAGCGGGCGCTTTGCCTGAGACCTCGGCTCTGTGGTCAGGCCTGACAGAAGCGACCAAGTCGAAAGGTCACAGCCAAAGCAAGCGCTGTTCACTCATGGAACCCGCCCCCTCTAAATTTCTAAAACACTGAGAACAAGCCACTCCGTTTTGATAAAGATTCACAAAAAAACAAAAACAAAAAAAGATTTACTCAATTAAATTTTCCATGTGTACCAAATATCTGAAAAACAAGCGTTTGTGTGACTTCTCTTTCCATCTGGCAAACCAGAAACCACTGGGCCTCTATTGGAAAATCACCAGGTATTCGCTTTATTTATTTTCCTATCTACAAAGGCACTCGCCAACGACCAGAAGCATTCACACACCGACAGGCCTTGACAGTGTGCCATGTTTCATCCTGTGGAAAGAAGGGTTTGAGATGTCTGGTGAGCACATTCACGATCAATACCCCTGGAAGCCAAGCGAACTCAATGCCTGTGTAGAGAGGGGAGGAAGCCAAGAGGAAATCAGATGCCCTTTGATGAATTCTTTCAGGGTAGCTGAGATGATGGCTCAGTAGGTGAAGTGCTTGCTGCTGCTGGCACAGGAACCTGAATTCAAATCCCCAGAACCTACATCACTTCAAAAAGGTATGTGTGCCTGGAATCCCGAGCTCTCCTGGTTAGTAAGATAGGAGGTGAAGGATAATCCCTGGGAGTTTGAGGGCCACCTAGCCTGTGTGTGACCTTGTCTCAAGCAAGGAGGAAGGCAAGGGCTGGCCCTTGATGGTGTCCTGTGACCTGTGACCTACACTTATGTGGCATGTCCCACGCGCTCACACACATAGGCACACCAAAGACTTGAGAAATTCGGTTCTTCTTGGAAACTTCCAGAGCGGGAGAAGGGGGTGTTAAACCACGTTTTCCAACCCCTTCCTTCAGGCTTTCACTTGGCCAGCACCTCAGAACCCTTGCTGTCATCTCCCCTACTCTGGTCACATCCCTCGGCAGCATAGGTACTATGATTCACCTGTTCCTAGACAAGAGAACCGAGGGCTCACGAAATGAATTGTTCTGAGAGGTCATATACCTTCTAAGAGGGCTGAGCGAAACTCCAGCTAGGTTTCAGAACCCCCGAATGTCCTTCTGTTACAGTGTCGGGAGAGTTTCCTCCGCGCTAACCATCCTTCTTCAGTGTTTAAGCCAGGTCGGAGTTTTCATATTCCAGGAGCGTCAGAGACGTTTTCACCGTGACGGTTCCCATACCTGCCCTTCGGCACCAACCCCACTGCGGCTTTATGTGGTCCTGTTCTGATTCACCAGGACTGTGTTCCTGCGCATTTGAAGTTTTCTCGCGTTCCTCTGACAGGGTGCCCTGGCAACTCCTTTGGGTTTCTCACAGCTGTGGTTTACTAATTAGTACCTGGGAAAGTGCCTGTGTTTGTTATCTTCGCTGAGGGAATGGTTTCTCATGGCCATCCTTACATTAAAATATGCCAAACGGGACAGCTTACGTAGAGATTCGTTTTATGTCTAGACCTCAGAGTTTTATGTTAATGATCCCTGTTTGGTGAATAACACTCACCAAGATATAAAAGCCAAAGCAAGCCATGTTAAATGTCTAATTCCAAGTGTAGGAAACACACGTCTACCATTTGGCGGTTCCATGAACCACGATCGCGCCACGTTCTAACGGCAGTGCGCTTTCCGAAATCCCAGGCGATTTCCTCCTGAGAAGGACTCCGGACGCGCAAGGCACTGACTACAGGTATATGGCACGGGAAAGAGAGATGCTTAGGATCCGAGACGTGAGCCAGCCGTTATCCAGGTCTGGAGCTCGCGCGAAGTGGTCCCCTACCAGCGTGAAGAATTTCAGGATGG